TAGTCTGAGAGCTGCTGTTCTGAGCTTAACTCTGCACTAGGTATTGTTTGAGCTTTCTGTATGTTGGCCCATTTAATCTCTCAGTTCTCAAGAGGTGGGTTCTACTTCAGTCCCACTTCACAGTTGAAAACGCCAAGGTGCAAACAGTTAATGAGCTTGCTCCAGGTAACAGGCTGGCAGTAGGTGAGGTAGAGCCGGCTTTCAGCCCAAGCTGTGTGAGGGCAGGGCCTGCATTCTTCTTGACCAGCCTGTGCTACCTTCGGGAGGTGGTGGTGATTGCTGCTGTTGTCCCTGGTTTCACCATAGAGCTTGTGTGTTCCAAGCTAGAGAAACACAGGTCCATGTGAAGAAAGAGATGTCTCTACCAGCCCTACATTGAGAAAAGCAGAAATGTGGACTAAGGGCCAGAAACGGGGGCCCCAACCCAGAAACATGAGCAGGTAAGCTGCCCTGCCTCACGTCTGGTGTAAAAGTAATTATTTCTTTTTTCTTTAAGAGATGGGGTCTCACTCTGTTGCCCAGGCTGAACTTGAACTCCTGGGCTCAAGCGATCCTCTAGCCTCAGCCTCCTGAGTAGCTAGAACTACAGGTACATGCTATCACACCTGGCTTATGAGCACTTATTTCTGAAAATCAGAGTTGGGAGGGCCTCCTGGGTCAGCACACAGGGACTAGGAGAGGGGCAGGCTGGAAGGGATGCTGGCCTGTGCTTTCCTATGCTTCTCTACCATCCCCATGGAATCAAAGACTTCGGGAAGGATTTCATTCTGAATCTGGGCCTATTTCAAGAAACTGATGAAATGGCAGGATCTCTTCCCCACTCCCTGGCATCTCCCTGCTCCCATATCCAGAAATCTCCTCGGGTACAAAGACTATCATGTTTTCTAGTTTATCCTCAGTGTCTTGCAAAGGGTGTAGCCCATCATGGCCACTCATTAACTACTGGGTGGGTGGGTGAGTGGGTGGATGGATGATAGATGAGTGAATAGATGCATGCTGATGGATGAAGAATGGATGGGTGGGTGGGTAGATGGATGAGGGGTGAATGATGGGTAGATGGGTAGGTAGATGTGTGGTTGATGGAGGATGGGTGGATGCTTGGATCATATATGTTCTGGAGGGGGACCTGCCTGCCCTAGAATGGTGGCTCTGCCTGTCATTAATCAGTGCCAGATCATAGATGGATGTGGGGTAGATGATGAGTGGATGGGCAGATGATGGATAGATGGTGGGAGGATGATGGATAGAGGAGTGGGTGGATGATGGATGGAATGGATGATGGACGAGTATGTGCTGGGTGGATGATGGGTGGATAGATGGATGTAGGGTAGATGATGAGTGGAAGGGCGGATGACGGATGGACGGCGGGTGGATTATGGATAGATAGGTGGGTTGACGATGGATGTGGGATAGATAAGTGGATGGGTGGATGATGGATGAATGGGTGGGAGGATCCATCCCACAATGAGGGATGGATGGGTGTGTTGATGAAGGATGAATGGGTGGGTTGATGATGGATGGATGGGTGGAAGGATGATGGACAGAGTAGAGTGGTTGGATGATAGGTGGGTAGATGGATAGTTGATGGGTGGATGGGTGGGAGGATCCATCACACAATGAGGGATGGATGGGTGTGTGGATGAGAGATGGGTGGCTGTGTGGATGATAAATAGGTGGCAGGATAATGGATGGGTGGGTGGAAAGTTAGGTAGATGGATGGGTAGTTGGGTGGATATGGGGATGGACAGATGGATGGGTGGGTGGGTGTATGATAGAGATATGGATGGATGAGTGTGTGCTGGGTGGATGATGGATGGAAGGATGGATGGGTGGGTGGGTGGACGAGCAAATATGGATCCTACTGTTTGACTGGTTCTAACTAACTCTTCTCTGATTTTGTCCTCAAATCCCTCAGATGCTGGGGATCACAGTCTCCTCTCCTTCCCTTGCAGTCTGGCTGGTGAGCAGTGTTAGCCATGCTCCAGTGTGGTGCCTCAGAAACTTATCCACTCCCCCTGGACTTTCCAGGTGGCAGTAGGGAAAGGCTGAGCAGTATGTCAGGTGCTCTGTTGGGTGGTAAAGTGTGTAGGGGAGAAATGTAGAGGAGGATACACAGGCCCTCAGCCCTGGATCCTAAAGGAGGGGGCGATGGAGAGAACCTGAGTGCTGTCAGCTCAGCTCCAGGACCTTTAGTGAATGTCAGTAGCTGAGATGATGACTAAACATGGGCCCTAGTAAGTGTTTGTACAATGGATTAGTGAATGATTGAGAGAAAACAACCAATATTTGATGCTGCTGAAAATACCAAAGAACTAATAAAGAATGGGGAAAATGAAAACTTTGACTGGCTGTATAGATAATACTCTTCAGAGCAATTTACGTAAATGTCATACTGTCTCTTACCCTGTTTGTTCGTCTTACGTAGATTTGCTCATCACCTGTTGTATACATTAATGTGTGTGTGTGTGTGTGTGTGTGTGTGTGTGTGTGTGTGTGTGTTTACATGGACTTAAAAATGAGTAAGACAAAATCTTTGTCCTCAAGGGAGTTGATATGTAGTTGGGAAGGCAAGAAATACATACAAATAATGTCAACATAGGGTGTGATGAAAGCCATAGAACAGTTACAAACAGATGAATTTTCAGCTAACACAAAAAGTGTGTGTGTTACAGGTAAACCATGTCTCCTTAGGAGTAGGCTATGGGATGGGGCAAAAGGCTCTGCCCAGGCCCAGGACGGTCTGCTTCTTGGCTGTGAAGCCTAGGCCAGGTCCTGATGCCTCTGACCCAAGCGGGCCAGCTAAGCCGGGCCATCAACATAGCTCCATCACTGTGGCTTCTACCTGGGAGGGTCAGGTATGTCCTGAAGGGGGACCCACTGGCCTGAGCCTAGAATGGTGGCTCTGCCTGTCATTACTCGGTGTCAGATGCATATTGGAGGCTTTGATTTCAGGGCTAAGTCCTGTTCTTGTGTGCTCTGCCTTATGTTGGTGGTATGGTCTGGTTATGATTTGTGTTAGTGAAAGCACATATCATGAGAGGCCCCAGAAGACACAGACAGATCTGTATGAACGTGCCTCACTCCTTGCGAGATGTGTCACAGCCTGGGTGCTCCCTCACACGCAAGTCAAACATGCAGGAAGCAGAACCCCTTGCTGAGGCCATGTTCGTCTGCATTGGGGCCAGGAAACTTGCATGCTTCTTCCATTTTCCTAAAGTAAAACTGAAAAATGAGACCAGGGCCTGTCAACACCCACGTTCTCATTAATGTGGCACCATGTGACCCTGGATGAGAGAAAACCAGGGAGCACTTTCTTGCCAGTTGTGTTCACTTGATAAAGCAGGGTTGTCAGAAGTCTGCCCTTTTCTTACAGAAATTCACAGGATTATACAAATACTTCTGTCCCGTGTCCAAGCATCCCTGTGAAATAAATAGGTTTTGAAAAACAGGTGCTTGGCTTTCAACATAAGCCAAAAGGCCTGGATGTCTCCTGGAAGAAGACAGAGTATCACTCTGGACAAAATGAGAATCCACTTAGCAGCCAAGACAGCAGGGACTTTGTTCTGAGTAGAAATGCACCCTGCTTGAGGAGGCCAGGGCAGAGGGGCAGAAGAGTGCTGTCTAGAGCTCCCAGTAGCCAGACACTGAGCTGCACCCATCCTGGGGTCTTACACATGTATGTTGCTAGATCATTCTCATCCCTTCAACCGCAACCCCTACACACATTATGGAAGCAGCTGTCAGGGTACTTTCCCTAAAGAAGATGAAAATTGCTCCGTAGATATTAAGTATCTGGACTTAACAGCAGAGAAGGAGGTCGAATTAAGCTGAAGTCTACCGTTTTTCCAGCTTCTTTGTGTAGGGTGAGATCCACTGTTTCATGTTTCTCACATACACAGCCTTCCGGTGAAATGAATCATGGAAAAACACTTTGATCATTTAGAGAACCTTTAGACTGAGAGATGGAAGTGGGGTAGAGGGAGAAAAAATGCTAACATTCTCCAGTGTAGACACCAGGGTGACGCCTGCCCCCAGAGTGTTGCCCCAAATCTCTCGGCTGATCCCACTCATGTTCATGCAAATTTTCTATTTTTTTAAAATAATTGTCATGAGTCAGACATTCTAGTTTAAGTCCCTCTTAAAATGTAAATGCCTTGAAAAGGCAAATACAAATATTTTACAAATAAAACTATTAAGGTAACTGCCATTTCTAGTCAAGCATTCTTATATTTATCAGATATGAAATTTGGACACATTTTAGGGTTCACATTTAAATCCAGAGAGAAGTTCAGTGGCAATAACAGGTAGAAAAATAAAAGGTGACATTCACTGAGAACTTACGTTGTGCCATATTACTTGCTTTCATCATCTTATTTAATCTGCACAACAACCCTTTGAGCTGGATTTCAGTTAATGCTGCCACTCGATATCCAGAAAGAGATGGACAGGCTTAGAACCCATATGAGTTCAGCTTCAGCACAAAAGCTTTTAACCAGTAAAATATCCTTTCTTCTGGAATAGCTCATTTTGAGGGACTGAGTTTACCATGAAGTCTTTGCTCCAGCTGTTGCCACATCTCTTCATGTCTTGGCAGCTGTGTCATAGAAGCTGCCAACCCACAAGGCCCTATTCTGGCCAGTCAGCACCGAAATCTCTCGTCTTTTCCACTTGATGACAGCATGGCAAGAAGGCCACGGGATGAGGATACTGGTTAGCACAGGCAGTGCCCTGTGAGGGAGAAGCACAGGCTCTGCTAGGGAGAGATTCAGGTGTCCTTTCTGGGTGTGTAGTCTCTGGGAAGAGCAGTGGCATCAGGGAGAGCTGAAAGAGGGGTAGCTTTGGAGGAGAGGGCTGGAGAGCCCAGCTCCCACCCAGGCAGGTGACCATGCACAGGGCCGTGTGCTTTCATCACCTGTCCTGACAGTTTGATGAGCCCTCTCGTTTGACAACTGCAGACGTGTGAGGCCTGTTGCTAAAGGTAGCTTTCTTTTCCTCCACAGGCATGAATGCTTTACAGTTGCAGAACCTGGCGACGCTGGCTGCTGCTGCAGCTGCGGCCCAGACCTCAGCCACCAGCACCAATGCAAACCCTCTCTCTACCACGAGCAGCGCCCTGGGAGCCCTGACAAGTCCCGGTGAGTGAGAGGGGTGCTCTTGCCTTGCAGGGGATGCAGCAGGAGTGGCAGGTTGGTTTCCATGCCTGCAGGTGCAAAGGGTGAGGCCAGACGTGCCCATGATGGAGCCGGGAAGCTACACTGGGCTGCTTTAGTTCATTGGGCTATTTAATTTTTTTAAAGGATCAGAATTCAAATGTGTCCTTTATTTTCCATGGATAAGATGAAAAAAATGAGAGAATCCACTGCGCAAGCCCTTCTCACACATTCACTCTGTTTTAAAAAGGCCCGTATTGTCCATTCAGCACTAGTTGTTACCACTATGAAGAGCCTCTGTCTCTTAGTCTTTCTTTGTCCTGTGTGTAAGAATTCTCTTTTAAATCTCAAAATTCCTGATTCCCATATTATATTTCACAGCGACTCCATCTGTCACATTTGATGTGAAAATCCGCAGTCCAGCAGGGAACATCTTTGCTCATGTCCGGTCAGATTCTGGGCTGTGTCATTTAAAGTCTTTTTTTCTTCACAAATTTTGTCGCCTTATTCAAAAGGAGACGCCAGTTTCCTTTTCCTACAAGCCAGATATAACTTGGTTGCTTAGATACCGTGATTTGAGGGTTTCTTTTTTTTTTTAATTTGAAAAAAGTAGAATGTTTCACTGGCTTTTCTTCTCTCTATTTTCCAGACCTTGATAGATGATCTCACCTCCTTCTCTGTTACGTGAAGGAATTGGCCTGGACAGTCTCCAAGCTTCCTTCTAACTTTAAAAATCCCATGACCCTTTATCAGCTGTGCCCCAAAGATTAGCTAAGTGTTGAAAAAACTTTAATAAAAAATAGCAAATGTGTTTTCAGGAAAACACACATCAAAAGCTATAGCCCACAACAGACTGGCCATTTTAGGGCTTTTGACTTCAGGGAGGAATGAGGCACATTCCTAGAGCTGGCAGTTCTCTAAAAAGCAGTCACCCTTTGTCTCTGCATAAGACATCGTGTATCTAAGACATTTCACCCTGAGGATGGTTTGGAGGGAGAAGTCTGAGAGATGTTGAAGAGAAGGTGGTGTATTTACCTATAATGTGCTGAAATCTCACAGCATGCATATTGAGTTCATTGTGTATAGTGTCTTCAAAAACATCCCATTACTATATATGGGCCTCATCTTATGTAATGAATACTATTCCTGAAAATTCAACTTTGCCACCCTTAATTTCAAGAAATTAAGTGATAGCTTCAATGCAACACATCAACTTGTTATTTAAATAAATCCTGTAATGATCCCTTTTGAGAAATAAATGTTTTTAACATGATAGATTTCTCCCTTGTAAAAAGTCCTTTTTAAAAAAGAAAATTCAATCCTGCCCAACTTAGATTTCATAAATCAGATTAAAATGTATTTTCTTAAGTAGGATATTTTTTCCTTTGTGATCTCTATGATTACGCCAAAATAGCATGGAGTGTTGTTAATGCATTTTGGTGTATCTTTAGTCCAAAGGAGGCTTGTCAGTTTAAGATGCCAAATGCAGAAGCAGCTATCAGCTTATCAGCATAGATAATATAAATCCAGAATAATATCCGGGAAGTGCTGTGTGGCGTGAGCAGGACAGACGTGCTGCCTACCTTTGGGAGTCCTTCAGTCCACCAGGGTCTTAGACAAAAAAACTAAGCAATCAGTGACAAATCAGTGATAGAATCCCACTGAAAAAGGGGAAAAGGGACTGGAGGAGGTGACCCCTCTCTCAAAAGGTGACCTTTAAAGCAGAGACCTGAGTTCCGTGATGGAAGCTATGGCGCCCGTTCAGGCAGAGGACAGAGCCAGTGGGCGGGGAGAGCAGAGTGGGGGTGCCGTGGCAGACAGCATCCGTTCTATCCCACATGGGGAGGAGCGTGAGCTTGTTGCAACCTTCTTAAAATGTGGGCTACTCAGATGGCCTAGGGCGACAGCCTAGGTGTTGGTCGAAAAGGAATTTTAAACATATGTGACTATTTTCAGTTTTTTTCCTGAAACCACAGTGAAAGAGAACGTGTTGTGAGCTGAGCCTTCCTCCCTGCTGGAGTTAAACCCACACCAGGCAGTGTCCTTCCCCTTAATGCTCTGGAAGAGGCTTCCTGCCCTTCAGAACACGCCACTAGCTTAGTGTCACTGAGAGCGATTTTTCTCTTCTCTACTGAGGAATGCTTTGCATAATAACTGAAAGTATTTTATTAGAATCCTGAAGTGTAGCAGCAGCAGTGATTGAAATCTACATTTCAATTATTTTTCTTAAGTGTAACTAAAAAATCTGGTGTTTAAGTGAAAGTAAATTATTTGTCTAATTTCCATCAGGGACTTTTTCAAAGTCACAGAAAATGTGGTTTGTAGGATTCATGAATCTCCACTTCATCAAAGCAATTTTCTAGAAAATAAAAAAAGTTGAAAGCCATTCCCAAAGCCATGGCCATTATTTACTTTTTAAATAATAATAAACTGGGCGCAATATTTGAACCATGAACCAGTTCATTCACACCATGAAATGCAGGAAGCCTCATCCCATCCTTCCTCCACAGGGCCTTGGGTTTACCCTGTTTTAAAAGCATGTCTCTTAAGCTTCAGACAAATTCATCTAGAAGGCAAAGGGACAATTCAATCCCCTAAACTATTAATTTTTTTAATAATTGTAAATTTATCATTTCAATTTTGCATACCCAGGAAAAGTCTCCCTACAGCATTATTTTAAATGATTTAAAACAGTCTTGACTTTAAAACATGAAAGATTAAGCTTTAATTTTTGTTTTAAAAAATCCCCTTAGGCAATAAATAGGTTCCTTTGTCTCATGGCCTTGAAATAAAAATTAAAATGTTTAAATTGCCCATGGTTAGAATAAGTGTTTCATGCAATTATCAGATGGTAGTGAATAAAATTAGAAATTAAATCATGAAAGAATAAAAATCAGGTAAGTGCATATTACGCCTTTTATGAGTTTCTCAGGGGCCTTTTGAAGCCTAATTTAATCATGTTTCTTGTCTTTCATTTTGATATGATAATTTTTCCTTTGTTTACCTCAGTCTTCTATTTAGTTAATTAATTCTTGGGTCATTTTTTTGTTACCCAGTTTTTAACCTGTTTTTGAGGACTGTGTCTCTGTGTAAGAGGCAAGTTGTCTAGAAGTGGTGTAACTAGGTATTAAAGACGATAATGTTTGCCTTACATTCAATTTGCAGATTTCTTGGTTTTGCTGGTACTTTTGAGAGCTTGCAGAGACTGTTACTGTTACTACACGTGAATATTTCTTTCTTGGTCTAAAATATACTACTGTATTCATGTACCATGTTATCACACTGACCTTCTATCTTCTTCTTTTAAAGAAAAAGGATGCTTTAAAATTCTCCAAATGCTTATGTAAGAGCAGAATTAACCAAATATACATTCCAGGATAATACATTGGTTCTTACCATGGTACAAGGCATTTGAAAAGGCTAGGAAACATTTTTTCATTCCCACCATTGGCTCTTCAAAGAGTTATCACTTTGAATTCTGGGTAGCATTTTCCCCATCTTCAAGGTGTCCCCGGCCTCCTTGAAGGCTGTGACAAACAGAAAGCTCCAAGGAAATGGTGGCATTTCCTCTTGGAATGTGTGAGGGTAACAGAGATTGGAGAAGTTTGGACATTGTTCAGCCATTCCCTGGTGCCTCACGTAGTACTGACCGAGGAAAGGTGACTGTCGTTGCACACCTATGTCACCAGAGCAGCTGAATGACCAAGTGGAAATGCGAATTCACCTTGACGTTATGCTGTGGCCTTTCCGTTGACAGGAGGCTTTGTCACTGCCGTCAATACATGTCTGCACTTGCATCAGAGAAGAAGTTGAATTATGCAAAGAGATGTGATGCATAAGCTGGTTTAACCCACATTTCTGAGACTTCTAGTCATGCAGGACAAATACATAAAAACGAGTTGGGGCCTGCACTGCCCTCTGCAAGTGGTGACCTGCAGGAGACAGTATCACAGATGAGAAAGGGTCAGGGCAGGAGAGAGGGACAGACAGGCGGACAGAGAGGCCATCTCCCCAAGGCTACTGCAGTGGTCCTACAACCTCAAAGTCTAGAATAAACTTGCCCCACAGACCTGTCCTTACCCCTCCAGCCTCACCCTGTTAAGTGGATCATCCCAGTGGCTAATGTCTCAGTCGCTGGTCTTTGCAGCTGGCCCCGGGCTCATCTGTGTGCGTCATCAGCCCCTCAGTTCTCCCTGTGAAGCATCTTTTCCCTCCCAGGCGACAGGAGCCTGGAAGAGACCCTCATCTTCTCTCCCTTTGTACTGTTGGAACAGCCTCCAAGTCGGCCCCTTACCTCTGTCTGTCTTGCACGCTCTTGGCATCTGTGGTCTAGACTGGAGTGAAACAAACTCCAGGTGTGGTGATCAGGGTCCACCTGGACCACATCCACTCTGCCATCCAGAATCTGGGCAGCACGCACACACCCAGATCAGGTCACCCCTCATACCCCAGCAACACCATCAGCCTTTATGCCATTATTCTTTCAGGCCTCTCTACCTAGAACATCTCCCACCTTTCCTCCCATGAAAATCTAGTATGTCACTCATTTATTGCACTGCTGGTTCTTGAGAACAATAATGTTGGTGGGTATGAAAGTGTTTCTAGTGCACATTATAAAAAGTAGAGCTTATGCTTCTTCTGTAATTTAAACTGGAATAAAAGATTTTTGGTGGTAATTACTAAAAACTGTTTTCAGTAACCTACTACTTTTATGAATCAGTGTATATGCCACCTCTACCATGAAGCCTTCTAGATAGAATTGATCATTTCCACATTGTATTTCTGACATAGTACCTAGCTCATTCTAGACCTGGGTTAGTGCAGACTGTTCCTGAGGAGCTGTTGGGCTCCCTGAGGGCAGGGGCAGAGAGGACTGGAGTGTCAGTGCTGGCCGGGCGTTCTGCAGACACTGCCCCTCTCCTGTGCTGCCAGGGCACGCTCGGCCTCCCTCCACTAACGCTGACCCTGTTGTCTCTGCAGGACGGTCATGTGGGCACGCGCTTTTTGTCCTGCCCTCTAGCCAGTGAGTTCTTTTGAAGTAGGCACTCTGTGTTATTTACTCATAATTCCCCCTTGCATCTGGAACAGCATATCAGACACAGGCCTTCACATGTTTTTTAGTAATTCAGTGGAATAGCAAAGCAAAAATTGTCAAAGACAAATGTTTAAAGGCCATCTGTTCAGTCTAGTACAATGTGCACATCTCTCGGAGGGCAGCTGCGTCCCTCAGGGTGACGTTGACAGGGTCAGCACACCCACCCAATCCACCTGTAAGGCGTGGCTCTGCCTGGATCCCTCAAGAACCAAACCCATAATTTGGTTTCACCTTATGGGTGAATACTCAGGTACAACAGGTTTCTGAAGAATGAATCAATACTTAGTTATACCAACACAGTCAAATGAAGCAGTCTTTTTATTACAAGAGTAGCTTATTTTACAAATAGTGACTTTCAGAATGTTCTGATGTCATTATATAGAATAAGTGAGAGTCTGTTATCAAATAAGTGATTTCATTTTCAGAAGAACGACCTCCTCTAATGTGGGCTTCTGAAAGATAATGTAACAGCAGACTGTCCTCAGAAAGTGCCCATTGACTCTGTGTACTGCTAACTCCACATGGCCTTCCGCTGTCCTGCCTACACTGCATACAGAAAGCAAGGTCCTATTTAGCTTTTCAGAATATTTTTTACTTGTACCACACTTACGCCCTGCATTTTATAAGTGCAGGGGGAGCAGTTATTCCTGTGAAAATGGCCTGAGTCTTTACTCTCCTCTCTTTCTCCTTACACCCATCTTTTGTAGTTGTTTATTCCAAGGAGAAAGAAGGAAATCTCAAAGCAGTCCATTCTCCCTTTCACTATTGGCTAAGTGTCTCAGTCAGGCAAAGTCAAGCCAGTTGGTAATAAAGGCTGTGCATTTGTGGGTTTCAATCTGTCAAGCATCTTTTTTTTTTTTTAAACCTTTCCTATGGTGCTGACGGTCAAACTTCTTTACACTTCTTTTGCTACAGAAGGAAGAGGGTTGGCATCCTGGTCTTTGCTCATTTCCTGCAAGTTTCACCATTTTACACTGCCTTTCTGAAAGCCCTCTTGTTTGCTCTTGACATTATGGGGCTCACTTTATTTTCATTAATGTTAATGGAGTCAAACATTACATAACATACTCTGTAAATAAAATGACTCTGCAGTGGCTGTTATCTCTTAATAGATTTTTTTTTTCATTCATTCATCAAATATCTATGCATCAATGTGCCTGGGACTGTTCCAGAACTTGAGACACATCAGTAGACAAAGCTGAAGATGATTTCTGCCTACATGTCCTTTCTCTTGTAGCATTAGCTTTCAAGAAAAGTGTCGCTTTACCAAATTCACACCATAGTAAAAATAATTTGAATAGCTTTTAAGTATAAACTATAACTTCTACACTCTTAAAATGTCATAACCAATATTTTGTATGTCTTACATTAAATTTTGTGAATGAGACCGAGAGCAGGAGGGGAAGCTCTTTTCTCGTTTGAGCTGTTCCATCTTTCTGTGTGTTGAGTTCAGCCAAGAGCTGGGAGGAGGGCCCCACCTCGGGTAGAACTGCAAGTGGCTGAAGCAGACGGTGAGAAGGTTTAGCGCTCAGCCTTGCTGCCTGGGCTGCTCTGTGGTGTCTCAGCAGAAGCAGGACATGAAAACCAAGTTGTCTGAAAGTTCTTAGGCATGTAAGACTTACATTGTTGGGGAAAACAATAGTTGGAATGGTGTGTCTTCCTAGTAAATGTCCTTTATTTGGCACTGATCATCCTGCTTCTAAAGGAGGAGAGGGCATGCAAACCCCTCCCAACCAGAGAGGTTTTGAGGGCCCTGCGTGTGCAGGACTTGGGTGTGGAATGACCTTCGGCACAGTGAGTGCATGGACGTTCCAGGCAGTGTGTGCAGTGCCCCGACCTGGAGCAGGCTGGAGTCTCTTAATAGTCTGGAACCAGTTTAAAGTTTAATAAAGCCGCACAGCTGTCGGGGTAGATACTTATGGTTCACCACAGAGCCCACACTAGGATTCATGCAAGTAGATTCCACCTGTGCTCTGAGCTCTGCTTGGTGGGTCCCTTCATCTGCGGGGTAGACAGAGCCTCACGTGCATCTTAGGGCTGCCACTCACCAAGCATATTGTTCCTCATTTTGAGTGGGTTTTTTAGTATGTGCAGGCATCGATTCTAATTCTTCATGTATTTGCTTTTTGGTGTTAGTGGTGCTAGAGTCTGAGCTAAGTGTTAGAGATTTGTTTTTAAATTTTGCCTTGCATAGTCTCCTGTATTGTGGCAAATCTACATCAGATCCCCTTGTGATATCTGTATGAGTTCAGGCTGTGTTTTCTGTCCAGCACAACCACTTAATGAGATTGCTATTCCCACTAAATGATCTATGATGTTGTGTGATAGAAACATGTTATCACCACTGGCACTGATGTTTCAGTGTTATATCAGGTGGGAAAATCAAAGCTTTATTCTAATCACAACTTCCCAGAATTGTATACTCTAAGGTCCATTTCTTAAGACTTGAAAGCAATCAGATGGGAATTTTTAGTTCAGATGTGGTTTCATCCCGAGGACCAGGCACCATCAACTCCATGGCCACATGCAAACATAAGCAAAATACACCAACCTGTACAGCACAGGAGGAAAGCAGCAAGGCAGGTAAGGTACAGGTGTCAGTGACAGGAGCGATTCTGCCCCAAGAAAGTGAGAGACATTTCAGTAGAAGAGTTGACACTTAAGCCAAAATGTTCAGGGTAGGTAGGATTTTTAAAAGTAGAAATGGAATGGAAGATATATCAAATATGTCAAATGTGTGAAAATGCAGAAATAGGATTTAATTAGCAAATGGAAGTTGCTCTCATTTTTCACACGCATGGACATAGGGAAAAGGATGCCCACGGGAGACCCTGAAAGCCGTGGCTGAGGAGCTAGAACTTTTCCTGTTAGCAGTGAAGAGCCATTTCAGGACTTTGGGCCCAAGAATGACAGTGATTGGACTGAGGCACCCATTGGATATGGGGAGAACAAAAGGGAAGGAGGAAAGATGATGTTGGGTGTGGAGTCTGGGTGGCCAGGGGGGGCACTGTTTTCAGTTGTGAGAGGAGTTGAGGGAAGCTGTCGTACAAGATGATCGGACATGGCACATGCTGAGCTCAGGTGCACATGAACGGACATTCTGTAAAATGTATCCAGCAGCGATCAGATGTGTGACCATCAGGCTGACCAGAGCCCTGCACTGGAGAGTGGATTGACACTGACCTGCAGAGGCCAGGTGGGCTGCCCTAAGCCGGGGAGGGGTGAGGTGATTAGGCCAAAATCACCAGCAAGGCAAGGCGGGGACTGGGTGTAGAAAGCCTTGGGGGAATGTCTGTGCTTGTGGGACAGAGGGGCCAAGGGATGGAAAGGGAGCTTTCTGAGGAAAGCACAGTGTCAGGGAAGCCAATGGGTACAGGGCTGGAGGGGGTGAAGGCAGAGCTGACTGAAGTTCGATGTGGGGGAGTGGCTGCTTCACAGCAGTGGTAGACAGTTTTGCAAGCAGTTAAAGAGGACAGAATTCTATATGGCATGTTTACGAAATGTGGTGAACATTTATAAAAATCTGTAAATGGGGCCGTTTGTGGTGGTTCACACCTGTAATCCCAGCACTTTGGGAGGCTGAGGCGGGCAGATCCCTTGAGGCCAGGAGTTCGAGAGCAGCCTGGCCAACACAGTGAAACCCTGTCTCTACCAAAAATACACAAATAAGCTGGGCATGTTGGTGCACACCTGTAGGCCCAGCTACTTGGGAGGCTGAGGCAGGAGAATCACTTGAACCTAGGAGGCAGAGGTTGCAGTGAGCCAACTCCAGCCTGGCTGACAAGAGCAAGACTCCATCTCACAAAAACAAAAGAAAATTAAAAATCTATAAATGTACTGGGGGCACTAGGAGGAGAACGTTTTTATGGTTTTAAGATGGAGAAAACAAACATATTTGTAGAACAAGGAGCCAGTACAAAGGGAAACAGGAAGAAGCCAATGAGAGCTAAAAGCTGGACTAGAGTCAAAGGGCAGGCTGGAGGGATGGACTCGGCCCCCAGTGTTTCCCTCTCCTGTGGTGAGGGGGATGCTGCCTGCTGAGTGTCAGGTCACGTGTCTTCTCCCCCAGGAGGACCCCCCACAGCAGCACCCTGGCCTTGCAGCGCCATCTTGACCTGGTACTAGTGCACAAGCCAACAGGCATGAACCCGAATCAGGGCTGAGTCAGCAGGTGGTGCAGTCTTAAGGGAGGGAACACCGTAGCCTCTGTCAGGATTGGGGATGCCAAGAATTTAGGACAGAAGGATACTACATCACATGCAGGCCAGGATTGATATATCTGGGGCTAGAAACAAAAACTCAAAGAAAAAGTCAACCTACAGGATGTAATAGAGGATTTCTAATTTTGTTTTTCTAGAGTATGTAGACATCTTGATCAAGAGTCAAGTCACTGGAGCAAGTAATGTTTCTTTAATTTTCTCGGTTGTGAAATAGAATTAATTGCTAATATTCACTTTTCTTATAGAAACATTGAGGTTTATACATATACACATATTTATATTTCTATAAATGTATATGGGTGCTTTTTTAAAAAGAAGATATTTAAGTATCTCATGGGAAGAGCATTTCATTATTTTGGAGTGACACAAAATACTGCAACTCTGGAGAACAGAGACTAGGTTAAAACTAGAATGAGTCTAACTATTTAACTAGGTTAAAACTAGAATAAGGTCCTATGATATTTATCTGGGTTAAAACTAGAATGAGGTCTGATAATGTGTAACTAGTTTAAAACTAGAACAAGGTCCTATGATATTTAACTAGGTTGAAACTAGAATAAGGTCTGATGATATTTAACTGGATTAAAACTAGAATAAGGTCCAATGATAACTTTTCTCTGAATCTCTTGCCTTTGGAAAACAAGTATCTCCTCACCTTTCCTTTAAAAATTAGCACATAAATACAGGGAGAAGACAGTTTCCTCACTCCTTTCTGCTTTTGTGCTCTGCCACTCGAGGGAACAGTAAACTTTCTACCTACCATAAATGCCACTTGAGCTCCTAGAACCAACATCCCCTCCTTAGCAAAGGCAAAATGGTATGACTGGGTTAAACAGAGCCAGACAGCTGTGTCCGGGCAGGATCTCTGCACTGAGGGTCAGGCCTGAGACCCATGGGGAGTCATTCGTTCATATCTTGTGCTCTGCGCCGGGCCTGTGCGGGAGCAGCATTCCTGCTGAGTGCACACCAAGCCCCAGCCAGCCTGCAGCCCCACTGTGACCATCCCGGGCTGCACCAGGTGACCTCTTGCCCCCTGCCACCCTTGGGATCATGTTGGCCAGAGGGAAATCTGCCTCCCAGAAACGATGTTCTCTACCTCTGGCAAGCTGTCCCCCCAAACCCCCAGAAGAAGGCCAGACTTCAGACAGACCATCAGTGACATGGTGACATGGGCCTGCTTTCTTGAGAAGCCTCTGTCCTCACCCTTTCCCTACAGAGGCCCCAGCCTGGTCCCATCATCAAATAGTACAGCTGCTGTTAAGGTGTCCAGCTGCCTCCCTCGTGACCCACGTGAGGAAACAGAGGCCTGCAAGGGTCAGTGGTTTGCCCAAGGGAGCACAGGATGTTAGTGACAGGTGAAATGACAGCCCTGCCATACCACGAGACAATCCATATTCTAAGCAGGAACTCCTGGGATCCCAGAACTATATTTCTAGGTTTCTCCAGTTACACATTCTCACCCTTATAAGGAGATGGCCAGTGTTTTGTTTTTTGTTTTTTTTTTTTTCATTCCTCCATGGCTGTGCATGAAAACAAATATCTGGGGCCAGCTAAAGGGGAAGTATATACTTTTGTTTCAGTGAATCATAAGCAAAATATCACTGGCAGGGAAAAGAGGTTTGATTTTCCCTCTCATTTGTCCCAATCTTAGGAGATCCATGTGTACTGTGTATATGAACGGACTCTTCCAAACTCATGGCCTCACAAGGGACAGGGGAGGATGCTAAAAATGAGACCAGGGACCCTGATTAATGACAACCCATGAAGTACATGTCTTGGACTCACTAGAGAGAGCTCCCACAGGCAATGAACATTAAAGCAAAGAACAGGACAGCTGCTTTGGGCGGGAGGAGCACGTGCTGGTCCCTTACCTCCTTGCCTTCCACATGTGCACCACCATGGAACAAAGCCTCCTCGGTCATTCTGAGTCCAGACCCAGCCCTCTAGACTTTTCCTCCTCCAGTCTTCCTGAGAACTAGTAGTGACGACTCTTGACCACACTGCACCAAGCCAGGTGCCACCAGCTTCCTTGGGAAGCGGAAGTGGCAGCAGAAGAGAGGGGCACTGACATCTCTGGGGAAGGTGCCCTCTTCCAGGCAGGAATATGAGGTCACATCTCACCACTGCAGCGCCCGGCACCACTCTCCAACCCTGCCGCCTTCTCCTCCATCACCACGCCCCTCCCTGTCCAAAAGATCTTTGAGGGACTGAATGAAAATAAGAGGTGTGGTTATTGTGGAATAATTAGGCCCCATGGGAGGAGAGGCAGTATTGTGCTAATGCCCCAGGGTTGTGATTAGCTCATGATAGTGCCTGTGTCATGACTTAATTATGCTGCCTCCTCACAAGCTATTACTGCACAGTTGGAATGCAGCATCCATGCTCTTTGGAGACAAAACGGCCACCTTGGGCTCCATCGTCCTGAGCATGTTTGGTCAATGCAGGCAGTTTTCTTTCTGTTCACAATGATTTTATTTCCTAAACCACAAAGCCACTATGCTTTCGCTATCGAATTGTTCTATGGAAAGTGTTTAATGAGTGTACCGAAGGCAAATTCGTGCTGTCTTCTGTTAATACTGTTCTGTTGTAGCTTTAAAAAAAAAAAAAAGCATTTTGCTATCCAGGAAGAGTGGGAAGTAGGGTTAATATGAGAATATGAATGCATTTGTTCCTGGAGAGCAAGCTAGTTTCTGGGACAGACTTATGTTACACATGGCCTGCAGATAAGCAGATACAAGACAAGGAGGAAGGGGAACATTCATATGGGAATTTTTTTTTTTTTTTTTTTTTTTGAGACGGAGCTTTCCTCTTGTTACCCATGCTGGAGTGCAGTGGCGCGATCTCGGCTCACCGCAACCTCCGCCTCCTGGGTTCAGGCAATTCTCCTGCCTCAGCCTCCTGAGTAGCTGGGATTACAGGCACGCGCCACCATGCCCAGCTAATTTTTTGTATTTTTAGTAGAGACAGGGTTTCACCGTGTTGACCAGGATAGTCTCGATCTCTTGACCTCGTGATCCACCTGCCTCGGCCTCCCAAAGTGCTGGGATTACAGGCTTGAGCCACCGCACCCGGCCAGGAATTTTTTTTAATAAAGAAGTGGCGAATGTGAGAGATGGATAAGCTCCTCATTGCTGTTTTTGGATCTGGAATCTTTAGAAGGATGGAGGAATACCAAAGTTCCTCAGCAGGCAGTGTCGCCTCAAATCAAGAATCCTGTTCACTATCCCACATTCTACAAAGAATAAGAAACCCACTTGAGCCCCCGTGCGTGCCTTACTCCCATTCCGGCAAGGGGTGGTGGGCTTCTCCAGGATGGGCTTTCACTTGGCCTCTGCCCCGTTCCTGCCTGAGAGTTGAGCATCGCCCTCAGCGGTCCTGCCTTGGAGCTGTGTCAGAGGAACGGAGGGGTTCTCTGGCCCTGGCCTGGTGGCACCACAGCAGCAACTGGCTTCACCCACTGTTTCTGAGGCTCTCCCCATTTTCTGTGGCACATAAGCAGAAGGGAAGGGTTTGATGAGGGTGTTGGGCAGAGCCCCATGCTCAGCCATGTCATGAGAAGCCGCAGCAAGGCAGCAGCAGGAGGTACAGTGCGAGGCCATCGTCCACCGGGTTGTAGTCTCCACATATGCCAGAGAGGGCACCCAGCTCAGCCGCCTCAGCCTTCGGTGGATCCGCCAGCCTTTCCTCCACCCCGCAGATGCCTGCTCAGTGCCCACTGCGCCAGTCACCCTCACAGGTTCTAGGGAAGCGGACAAGCAAATCCTTGCTCTTCAACACACTGCTTCCGTGGGATTTCTTTTCCTTGGGAAGAACAGAACCGTAACTTACACTCTCACCTAGTTTTTGACTCTGGGTTCCTTGGTGCCCAGTGACTGTTGTTCTTTCCTGTCACAAACAGAACCTTCTCCCTCCCTGCATCCTTTCACCTTCTCATGCCTCAGACTCCAATTTTCACCCAGTCAGGGTGCAATATGACAGCACTGTACTGGAGGGTCCTGAGACCCATGGTTCCCCAACATTTGCATGAAAAGCAGCACCCAAGGGCTGGTTCAACTCAGATGCCCAAGCCCCATAACCAGAGCGTCCGGCTCAGCGGGAGTGACGGAAGTCCAGATGGTGCTGATGCCAGAGGTTCGAGGCTGTATAACTTTACAGTAATGACCTTCTCCATTAAATGTGTCTATGGCTACAGCACCCCCAAAGGACAGGATTGGGCCCGCCTTCCCCATACAACGACCGACCCAATGGCCTGCAGAGGATCCACCACCCAGGGCCGTGGGCCAGAGGGAGTTGACACCACACTACTGTGGTCTTTTTCTTGGTGACATTCTCTGTGATCTGCTCATTTAGGATTGAGTTGGGTGTGCATGGTGTGGCAGCTGCTGTATAGGTTTTCCTGGGACAGAAAGTAAAAGCTATTTCTACTTTAAGCTTAATGGTGCTTGTATTTATATAGATCCTTTGTTCTCTGGTCTCTAAATTGACGTGGGATTTTCACATTGTTCTATTCTGCTATGGGCAGTGGAAATTGGAGTCTCCACCAGAGTTCTGCCTGGAAGCATTAGAACCCTGCCTTCGTGGAGTCCTCTCTTTCTCTGCCAGGAGATGAAGTCAGCATGTGTTTGGCACTACTAGAAACAATAAGAGCTTTTCAGAAGTTGGCTTTTTGGACCTTGTGGCCATCAAGCCTAGCCTCGGGGTCTGCGGAAACCCCTTGGTATACATTGGAGGTGTCTGCTTTCTCACCCCACAAACAGGGACTGGAGTGCCTCAGAGGCGGTGCGGCTCACTGCGGAAGACTTCTTTTCCCTAGCCAACTTCCCTCTGTATCCAACTGAAATCTGCCTCTGAACAGCTTTCATCTACTGATCCTAATTTGGATCTCTTGAGCTGCAAAGAATATCTTTCTCACGTCAAGACCTGAGACTGTTTCTTGCCTTAGTCTTTACCTCTCTAGGCTCAGTTTTACTGTTACCAGCTCACTCTCTTTCAACTCAACTTTCGCATCTGGTCACCCTCCTCAGGATTCTCTGAAAACGATACATACAGACTGACCTTCCTAATGACCAGACTAATGAGAAAGGCTCCAAAATTAGTCATCATCCATGCAGTCGCCTCCCTGGGGAGGAAAATGTTAAATCTTCATTGCAAGTGCTGTAAAATGAAGTGAAAAGATGCATTTCCTCTTTTGAGGACAGAATACCCAGATTCTTCTCCTTCAGATGTAGACTAAACACATGTATATGGATCACCCACTATGTATCAGATATCGGTGATGCCTTCTTGGATTATCACACCCATCCACAGAGGCAGGGCACATTACTGTTGTTTTGTGGATAAATACCAGCCTCAGCTGAATGGAGTAGACGGCCCAAGTTCTTACAGACTGGAAGGGACAGAGCCAAAAATTTAAAGGCAAATCTGAGTGAGGGCAAGTTCACTGCTTTCATAAGTAAATGTCTGCAGTAGCCACTAGGTAGACACAAGAGGCGAAACAGGATTTTGAGTTTCACATCAACATAACACTGGGTTTAATTCTGGCTCTGCCACTGAGAGTTGTGTGACCTTCCACACACCACTTCACTTCACAGGATAACTGTAAAGGACTAAATGGGCTTGCACGCACGCTGGCAATAAGCAGCATGTGGCAAGCACTCACACCTGAGCTGTGTTCATTATTAGCAGCAGAGCTGGAGAATGTTAGTTTCCTGTTGCTGAGATGACAAGTTACCACAAACCTCATGGCTTAACACATATTTATTATCTTGAAGTTCTGTAGATTAGGAACTCAGCATACTCACTGGGCTGGGGTCAAGGTGTCAGCAGGTGTGTTCCTTCTGGAGGCTGTAGGGGTAAATCTGTCTCCTTTCCCAGCTTAAACAGGCCACCAACTTGACTTGGCTCATGGCCCCTTCCTCCATCTTCAGAGCCAGCAAATCCTCATGCTGCCATCTCTGATTTTTTCTCTCTCGATTCTTCCTTCCACTTACAAGAACCCACCCAGATTATCCACAATAATCTTGCCCATCTCAAGGTCTGCTGATTAGCAACTTTTGTAGTCCATTTTCTGTTGCTTGTAACACAGCACCTGAAACTATTTAATTTATTTTAATGAGGAACTATTTCTTACAGTTTTGGAGACTGAGAAGTCCATGGTCAAGGTGGTGCATCTGGTGAGGACCTTCTTGCGAGTGGGGCTTCTGCAGTCCTGAGGCAGTGCAGGGCATCACATGGCCGGGGGCGGAGCATACTAACATGCTTGCTCAGGACACTCTTCCTCCTCTTATAAAGCCTCAGTTCCATTCATGTTATATAACCCATGAATTCCTTGACCTGTTAATTCATGAATGGATTAATTCATTCATGAGGGCATAGCCCTCATGATCCAGTCACCTCTTAAAGGCCCTACCTCTCCATATTGCCACATTGGGGGTTAAGTTTCCAACACATGACATTTGGGGAATACAAGAAAACCACAGCACATTCCATCTACAGTTTTAATTTCTCTTTGCCATGTAACCTAACATAGTCACAGGTTCCAGGAATTAGGACATGGATGTCTTGGCTTGGCTTGGGGGTGAACAGAGAACCTAATAGTAATTCTTAGTTCCCGCTCCAAACATAGCCCTTAGGACCCAAATAAGCTTAATTTATTTGGGTCCTATCCAGGAATGGACCCATTGGAACAGAGAGAGAAGACAGAACTGGAAAGCCTTTGTAAAACACATACTGGCATCTTCTAGTTTGACTCTTGTGTTCCTTCCCCAGTTCTGGCCCAGTAAATGCAGGTCCTTCCCAGTTCTACCAGTCTGATTAGTCACCCCTCCTCCCATGGGAAATCCAAGGCTGGTGAGGGGCCACGGGGAGGTGGTCCAGGTTATCCACATGGCAGAGAAAAGAACTTTTTCCTGGAAAGTAGAGCTCATATCCTTGCCTCTCTGGAAATTATCTGGGTTGATTTAAGAAAGCTTTCCAAATAGGCCTTCTTCCATAACTGCTGTATCCCTATGTGGCAAAGGCCACTGGCCTCTTCTTGGAATTCTCATGCCCACACCTGGATGCTGGTGCCCATCCTTCGTCCCTCACGCGTGCAACAGGGCCAGTCCCTTCAGTACTCTGGGCCTCTGCTTATTTTTCAAGTGCGGGAAAGACTCCAGTCTAGTTCACAGTTTGCCTGAGAGGATCCCACCTTCAGTAAAAGACCCATCTGAAAGACATACTGTTACCTACTACTGTCAGTGGGAATTAGGAAGAGAAAGAAGGCTCTGCACTGGTTGTGGGGGTCCGGCTCTCAGCTCTGTCTAAGATACTGAACAGCAGCTATTCTAGGTGATCTAGCACTTAATGACCTAGGCACTCAGTCTGTGACCTACAGTTTTAACCTAAGACAAGAGTCTCTTCTGGGTGGAGACCTAGAACAGCTCTGAGGAGAAGGAGCCCATCCTATCCTCTCAGTTGGGATTAGTGTTTGAGATTACTCAACTTGGAGTTTTCTAAAAATGAGCTTTCCTGGTCAAACAAGCAAAGAACTTCTGTGACCAGGCCATAGTGGGCATATCCTCACCACCAGTCTCCCAGGACCACTTTGCTTCTCCTGTTCTCCACACCCCACCCTGCCCCACACACGGTTTTCAAAAAAGGGCACAGACTTTGTCTGCCACATGAGCTAATAAAAACATGGCCATCCTTGACTGCTCGACCATTTTCTTCCCTGGCAAGCCAGCTGGTCTGAATGTCCATGGCCTGGTTGATAGGTTTTAACTAGTGGTACAACAGG